GTCGAATGGTGTTGTGTGCAGTCGAATGGTGTTGTGTGCAGTCGAATGGTGTTGTGTGCAGTCGAATGGTGTTGTGTGCAGTCGAATGGTGTTGTGTGCAGTCGAATGGTGTTGTGTGCAGTCGAATGGTGTTGTGTGCAGTCGAATGGTGTTGTGTGCAGTCGAATGGTGTTGTGTGCAGTCGAATGGTGTTGTGTGGAGTCGAATGGTGTTGTGTGTAGTCGAATGGTGTTGTTGAATGGTGTTGTGTGCTGTTGATTGGTGTTGTGTGGAGTCGAGTGGTGTTGTGTGGAGTCGAATGGTGTTGTGTGGAGTCGAATTGTGTGGAGTCGAATCGAATGGTGTTGTGTGAAGTCGAATGGTGTTGTGTGCAGTCGAATGGTGTTGTGTGCAGTCGAATGGTGTTGTGTGCAGTCGAATGGTGTTGTGTGCAGTCGAATGTCGAATGGTGCAGTCGAATGGTGTTGTGTGCAGTCGAATGGTGTTGTGTGCAGTCGAATGGTGTTGTGTGCAGTCGAATGGTGTTGTGTGCAGTCGAATGGTGTTGTGTGCAGTCGAATGGTGAAGTCGAATGGTGTTGTGTGAAGTCGAATGGTGTTGTGTGCAGTCGAATGGTGTTGTTGAATTGTGTTGTGTGAAGTCGAATGGTGGTGTGTGCAGTCGGATGGAGTTGTGGGCAGTCGAGTGCAGTCGAATGGTGTTGTGTGCAGTCGAATGGTGTTGTGTGCAGTCGAATGGTGTTGTGTGCAGTCGAATGGTGTTGTGTGCAGTCGAATGGTGTTGTGTGCAGTCGAATGGTGTTGTGTGCAGTCGAATGGTGTTGTGTGCAGTCGAATGGTGTTGTGTGCAGTCGAATGGTGTTGTGTGCAGTCGAATGGTGTTGTGTGCAGTCGAATGGTGTTGTGTGCAGTCGAATGGTGTTGTGTGCAGTCGAATGGTGTTGTGTGCAGTCGAATGGTGTTGTGTGCAGTCGAATGGTGTTGTGTGCAGTCGAATGGTGTTGTGTGCAGTCGAATGGTGTTGTGTGCAGTCGAATGGTGTTGTGTGCAGTCGAATGGTGTTGTGTGCAGTCGAATGGTGTTGTGTGCAGTCGAATGGTGTTGTGTGCAGTCGAATGGTGTTGTGTGCAGTCGAATGGTGTTGTGTGCAGTCGAATGGTGTTGTGTGCAGTCGAATGGTGTTGTGTGCAGTCGAATGGTGTTGTGTGCAGTCGAATGGTGTTGTGTGCAGTCGAATGGTGTTGTGTGCAGTCGAATGGTGTTGTGTGCAGTCGAATGGTGTTGTGTGCAGTCGAATGGTGTTGTGTGCAGTCGAATGGTGTTGTGTGCAGTCGAATGGTGTTGTGTGCAGTCGAATGGTGTTGTGTGCAGTCGAATGGTGTTGTGTGCAGTCGAATGGTGTTGTGTGCAGTCGAATGGTGTTGTGTGCAGTCGAATGGTGTTGTGTGCAGTCGAATGGTGTTGTGTGCAGTCGAATGGTGTTGTGTGCAGTCGAATGGTGTTGTGTGCAGTCGAATGGTGTTGTGTGCAGTCGAATGGTGTTGTGTGCAGTCGAATGGTGTTGTGTGCAGTCGAATGGTGTTGTGTGCAGTCGAATGGTGTTGTGTGCAGTCGAATGGTGTTGTGTGCAGTCGAATGGTGTTGTGTGCAGTCGAATGGTGTTGTGTGCAGTCGAATGGTGTTGTGTGCAGTCGAATGGTGTTGTGTGCAGTCGAATGGTGTTGTGTGCAGTCGAATGGTGTTGTGTGCAGTCGAATGGTGTTGTGTGCAGTCGAATGGTGTTGTGTGCAGTCGAATGGTGTTGTGTGCAGTCGAATGGTGTTGTGTGCAGTCGAATGGTGTTGTGTGCAGTCGAATGGTGTTGTGTGCAGTCGAATGGTGTTGTGTGCAGTCGAATGGTGTTGTGTGCAGTCGAATGGTGTTGTGTGCAGTCGAATGGTGTTGTGTGCAGTCGAATGGTGTTGTGTGCAGTCGAATGGTGTTGTGTGCAGTCGAATGGTGTTGTGTGCAGTCGAATGGTGTTGTGTGCAGTCGAATGGTGTTGTGTGCAGTCGAATGGTGTTGTGTGCAGTCGAATGGTGTTGTGTGCAGTCGAATGGTGTTGTGTGCAGTCGAATGGTGTTGTGTGCAGTCGAATGGTGTTGTGTGCAGTCGAATGGTGTTGTGTGCAGTCGAATGGTGTTGTGTGCAGTCGAATGGTGTTGTGTGCAGTCGAATGGTGTTGTGTGCAGTCGAATGGTGTTGTGTGCAGTCGAATGGTGTTGTGTGCAGTCGAATGGTGTTGTGTGCAGTCGAATGGTGTTGTGTGCAGTCGAATGGTGTTGTGTGCAGTCGAATGGTGTTGTGTGCAGTCGAATGGTGTTGTGTGCAGTCGAATGGTGTTGTGTGCAGTCGAATGGTGTTGTGTGCAGTCGAATGGTGTTGTGTGCAGTCGAATGGTGTTGTGTGCAGTCGAATGGTGTTGTGTGCAGTCGAATGGTGTTGTGTGCAGTCGAATGGTGTTGTGTGCAGTCGAATGGTGTTGTGTGCAGTCGAATGGTGTTGTGTGCAGTCGAATGGTGTTGTGTGCAGTCGAATGGTGTTGTGTGCAGTCGAATGGTGTTGTGTGCAGTCGAATGGTGTTGTGTGCAGTCGAATGGTGTTGTGTGCAGTCGAATGGTGTTGTGTGCAGTCGAATGGTGTTGTGTGCAGTCGAATGGTGTTGTGTGCAGTCGAATGGTGTTGTGTGCAGTCGAATGGTGTTGTGTGCAGTCGAATGGTGTTGTGTGCAGTCGAATGGTGTTGTGTGCAGTCGAATGGTGTTGTGTGCAGTCGAATGGTGTTGTGTGCAGTCGAATGGTGTTGTGTGCAGTCGAATGGTGTTGTGTGCAGTCGAATGGTGTTGTGTGCAGTCGAATGGTGTTGTGTGCAGTCGAATGGTGTTGTGTGCAGTCGAATGGTGTTGTGTGCAGTCGAATGGTGTTGTGTGCAGTCGAATGGTGTTGTGTGCAGTCGAATGGTGTTGTGTGCAGTCGAATGGTGTTGTGTGCAGTCGAATGGTGTTGTGTGCAGTCGAATGGTGTTGTGTGCAGTCGAATGGTGTTGTGTGCAGTCGAATGGTGTTGTGTGCAGTCGAATGGTGTTGTGTGCAGTCGAATGGTGTTGTGTGCAGTCGAATGGTGTTGTGTGCAGTCGAATGGTGTTGTGTGCAGTCGAATGGTGTTGTGTGCAGTCGAATGGTGTTGTGTGCAGTCGAATGGTGTTGTGTGCAGTCGAATGGTGTTGTGTGCAGTCGAATGGTGTTGTGTGCAGTCGAATGGTGTTGTGTGCAGTCGAATGGTGTTGTGTGCAGTCGAATGGTGTTGTGTGCAGTCGAATGGTGTTGTGTGCAGTCGAATGGTGTTGTGTGCAGTCGAATGGTGTTGTGTGCAGTCGAATGGTGTTGTGTGCAGTCGAATGGTGTTGTGTGCAGTCGAATGGTGTTGTGTGCAGTCGAATGGTGTTGTGTGCAGTCGAATGGTGTTGTGTGCAGTCGAATGGTGTTGTGTGCAGTCGAATGGTGTTGTGTGCAGTCGAATGGTGTTGTGTGCAGTCGAATGGTGTTGTGTGCAGTCGAATGGTGTTGTGTGCAGTCGAATGGTGTTGTGTGCAGTCGAATGGTGTTGTGTGCAGTCGAATGGTGTTGTGTGCAGTCGAATGGTGTTGTGTGCAGTCGAATGGTGTTGTGTGCAGTCGAATGGTGTTGTGTGCAGTCGAATGGTGTTGTGTGCAGTCGAATGGTGTTGTGTGCAGTCGAATGGTGTTGTGTGCAGTCGAATGGTGTTGTGTGCAGTCGAATGGTGTTGTGTGCAGTCGAATGGTGTTGTGTGCAGTCGAATGGTGTTGTGTGCAGTCGAATGGTGTTGTGTGCAGTCGAATGGTGTTGTGTGCAGTCGAATGGTGTTGTGTGCAGTCGAATGGTGTTGTGTGCAGTCGAATGGTGTTGTGTGCAGTCGAATGGTGTTGTGTGCAGTCGAATGGTGTTGTGTGCAGTCGAATGGTGTTGTGTGCAGTCGAATGGTGTTGTGTGCAGTCGAATGGTGTTGTGTGCAGTCGAATGGTGTTGTGTGCAGTCGAATGGTGTTGTGTGCAGTCGAATGGTGTTGTGTGCAGTCGAATGGTGTTGTGTGCAGTCGAATGGTGTTGTGTGCAGTCGAATGGTGTTGTGTGCAGTCGAATGGTGTTGTGTGCAGTCGAATGGTGTTGTGTGCAGTCGAATGGTGTTGTGTGCAGTCGAATGGTGTTGTGTGCAGTCGAATGGTGTTGTGTGCAGTCGAATGGTGTTGTGTGCAGTCGAATGGTGTTGTGTGCAGTCGAATGGTGTTGTGTGCAGTCGAATGGTGTTGTGTGCAGTCGAATGGTGTTGTGTGCAGTCGAATGGTGTTGTGTGCAGTCGAATGGTGTTGTGTGCAGTCGAATGGTGTTGTGTGCAGTCGAATGGTGTTGTGTGCAGTCGAATGGTGTTGTGTGCAGTCGAATGGTGTTGTGTGCAGTCGAATGGTGTTGTGTGCAGTCGAATGGTGTTGTGTGCAGTCGAATGGTGTTGTGTGCAGTCGAATGGTGTTGTGTGCAGTCGAATGGTGTTGTGTGCAGTCGAATGGTGTTGTGTGCAGTCGAATGGTGTTGTGTGCAGTCGAATGGTGTTGTGTGCAGTCGAATGGTGTTGTGTGCAGTCGAATGGTGTTGTGTGCAGTCGAATGGTGTTGTGTGCAGTCGAATGGTGTTGTGTGCAGTCGAATGGTGTTGTGTGCAGTCGAATGGTGTTGTGTGCAGTCGAATGGTGTTGTGTGCAGTCGAATGGTGTTGTGTGCAGTCGAATGGTGTTGTGTGCAGTCGAATGGTGTTGTGTGCAGTCGAATGGTGTTGTGTGCAGTCGAATGGTGTTGTGTGCAGTCGAATGGTGTTGTGTGCAGTCGAATGGTGTTGTGTGCAGTCGAATGGTGTTGTGTGCAGTCGAATGGTGTTGTGTGCAGTCGAATGGTGTTGTGTGCAGTCGAATGGTGTTGTGTGCAGTCGAATGGTGTTGTGTGCAGTCGAATGGTGTTGTGTGCAGTCGAATGGTGTTGTGTGCAGTCGAATGGTGTTGTGTGCAGTCGAATGGTGTTGTGTGCAGTCGAATGGTGTTGTGTGCAGTCGAATGGTGTTGTGTGCAGTCGAATGGTGTTGTGTGCAGTCGAATGGTGTTGTGTGCAGTCGAATGGTGTTGTGTGCAGTCGAATGGTGTTGTGTGCAGTCGAATGGTGTTGTGTGCAGTCGAATGGTGTTGTGTGCAGTCGAATGGTGTTGTGTGCAGTCGAATGGTGTTGTGTGCAGTCGAATGGTGTTGTGTGCAGTCGAATGGTGTTGTGTGCAGTCGAATGGTGTTGTGTGCAGTCGAATGGTGTTGTGTGCAGTCGAATGGTGTTGTGTGCAGTCGAATGGTGTTGTGTGCAGTCGAATGGTGTTGTGTGCAGTCGAATGGTGTTGTGTGCAGTCGAATGGTGTTGTGTGCAGTCGAATGGTGTTGTGTGCAGTCGAATGGTGTTGTGTGCAGTCGAATGGTGTTGTGTGCAGTCGAATGGTGTTGTGTGCAGTCGAATGGTGTTGTGTGCAGTCGAATGGTGTTGTGTGCAGTCGAATGGTGTTGTGTGCAGTCGAATGGTGTTGTGTGCAGTCGAATGGTGTTGTGTGCAGTCGAATGGTGTTGTGTGCAGTCGAATGGTGTTGTGTGCAGTCGAATGGTGTTGTGTGCAGTCGAATGGTGTTGTGTGCAGTCGAATGGTGTTGTGTGCAGTCGAATGGTGTTGTGTGCAGTCGAATGGTGTTGTGTGCAGTCGAATGGTGTTGTGTGCAGTCGAATGGTGTTGTGTGCAGTCGAATGGTGTTGTGTGCAGTCGAATGGTGTTGTGTGCAGTCGAATGGTGTTGTGTGCAGTTGAATGGTGTTGTGTGCAGTCGAATGGTGTTGTGTGCAGTCGAATGGTGTTGTGTGCAGTCGAATGGTGTTGTGTGCAGTCGAATGGTGTTGTTGAATGGTGTTGTGTGGAGTCTAATGGTGTTTTGTGCAGTTGAATGGTGTTGTGTGGAGTTGAATGGTGTGTGCAGTCGAATGGTGTTGTGTGCAGTCGAATGGTGTTGTGTGCAGTCGAATGGTGTTGTGTGAAGTCGAATGGTGTTGTGTGGAGACGTGTCGAATGGTGTTGTGTGCAGTCGAATGGTGTTGTGTGCAGTCGAATGGTGTTGTGTGCAGTCGAATGGTGTTGTGTGCAGTCGAATGGTGTTGTGTGCAGTCGAATGGTGTTGTGTGCAGTCGAATGGTGTTGTGTGCAGTCGAATGGTGTTGTGTGCAGTCGAATGGTGTTGTGTGCAGTCGAATGGTGTTGTGTGCAGTCGAATGGTGTTGTGTGCAGTCGAATGGTGTTGTGTGCAGTCGAATGGTGTTGTGTGCAGTCGAATGGTGTTGTGTGCAGTCGAATGGTGTTGTGTGCAGTCGAATGGTGTTGTGTGCAGTCGAATGGTGTTGTGTGCAGTCGAATGGTGTTGTGTGCAGTCGAATGGTGTTGTGTGCAGTCGAATGGTGTTGTGTGCAGTCGAATGGTGTTGTGTGCAGTCGAATGGTGTTGTGTGCAGTCGAATGGTGTTGTGTGCAGTCGAATGGTGTTGTGTGCAGTCGAATGGTGTTGTGTGCAGTCGAATGGTGTTGTGTGCAGTCGAATGGTGTTGTGTGCAGTCGAATGGTGTTGTGTGCAGTCGAATGGTGTTGTGTGCAGTCGAATGGTGTTGTGTGCAGTCGAATGGTGTTGTGTGCAGTCGAATGGTGTTGTGTGCAGTCGAATGGTGTTGTGTGCAGTCGAATGGTGTTGTGTGCAGTCGAATGGTGTTGTGTGCAGTCGAATGGTGTTGTGTGCAGTCGAATGGTGTTGTGTGCAGTCGAATGGTGTTGTGTGCAGTCGAATGGTGTTGTGTGCAGTCGAATGGTGTTGTGTGCAGTCGAATGGTGTTGTGTGCAGTTGAATGGTGTTGTGTGCAGTCGAATGGTGTTGTGTGCAGTCGAATGGTGTTGTGTGCAGTCGAATGGTGTTGTGTGCAGTCGAATGGTGTTGTGTGCAGTCGAATGGTGTTGTGTGCAGTCGAATGGTGTTGTGTGCAGTCGAATGGTGTTGTGTGCAGTCGAATGGTGTTGTGTGCAGTCGAATGGTGTTGTTGAATGGTGTTGTGTGGAGTCTAATGGTGTTTTGTGCAGTTGAATGGTGTTGTGTGGAGTTGAATGGTGTGTGCAGTCGAATGGTGTTGTGTGCAGTCGAATGGTGTTGTGTGCAGTCGAATGGTGTTGTGTGCAGTCGAATGGTGTTGTGTGCAGTCGAATGGTGTTGTGTGCAGTCGAATGGTGTTGTGTGCAGTCGAATGGTGTTGTGTGCAGTCGAATGGTGTTGTGTGCAGTCGAATGGTGTTGTGTGCAGTCGAATGGTGTTGTGTGCAGTCGAATGGTGTTGTGTGCAGTCGAATGGTGTTGTGTGCAGTCGAATGGTGTTGTGTGCAGTCGAATGGTGTTGTTGAATGGTGTTGTGTGCTGTTGAATGGTGTTGTGTGGAGTCTAATGGTGTTTTGTGCAGTTGAATGGTGTTGTGTGGAGTTGAATGGTGTTGTGTGGAGTTGAATGGTGTTGTGTGGAGTTGAATGGTGTTGTGTGGAGTTGAATGGTGTTGTGTGGAGTTGAATGGTGTTGTGTGGAGTTGAATGGTGTTGTGTGGAGTTGAATGGTGTTGTGTGGAGTTGAGTGGTGTTGTGTGGAGTTGAATGGTGTTGTGTGGAGTTGAATGGTGTTGTGTGGAGTTGAGTGGTGTTGTGTGGAGTTGAGTGGTGTTGTGTGGAGTTGAATGGTGTTGTGTGGAGTTTAATGGTGTTGTGTGTTGTCAGATCATGTGGAAGGCAGCTGCAGGTCAGTCCGTCTCTGTTGCAGTGGATGATGGAGGAGATGATTGGGAAACAGACCCGGACTTTGAGGTTACAAACTGTCTCTGATTGTCTGTGCATCACTTCTCAAGACATGCTCATTCATACATTGCGTATTTTATCAGTGGATGTAGATGAAAATGCGTGCAGTGAAATATTAGTTTTCTTTTTTTTGTGAATTTTTGTGAATATTTGCATCTACCTCTTTCTGCACATTCATACAGATTTCAACATTTATGTTTTCTTATTCTTGCTTATGTGGGTTTTCTCTCCACTGATGTCTGACTTTTTCCACCAAACGGCAGAATGATGTTTCAGAGAAGGAGCAGCGCTGGGGTGCCAAGACTGTGGCCGGCTCTGGACATCAGGAACACATCAAGTTAGTCCGCTTCCATAGCTTTTTAAAAACAAAGCATCTTTTCTAACAATACAAGTCTTTACTTTGTATCAATTTAACACGTCCTTGCAGGATAAAATATGACTTCCTTTCAAATAAATAAAGAAAAAGAAAAAACTATTTTGAATAAATGCTGTTCTTTTTAACATTTTGTTCATCAAAGAATCCTGAAAAAAGTATCACAGGTTCCAAAACAATATTAAGCCGCACAGCTGTTTCCAACAATAAATCAGCTTATTAGAATGATTTCTGAAGGATCATGTGATGAATTATAGTTTAACGTATATTAAAATAGAAAACAGCTATTTTAAATTGCAAACATATTTCACAATATTAATTTACATTTTTTCGGTGTTTTTAATCAAATAAATGCAGTCTTGATGAGCTCTTTAAAAAAAACATTAAAAATCGTACAGATCCCAAACTTTTGAACGGCAGTGTGTATATAAAATATTTCTGAAAATTAAGGGACATATAAAATAATATTAATGAAACAATTTTATGTTATGAGTTTAATCATATAATTGATATTAAACTGCCTTTAGACTAATCTTACAATCAAGTTAGTAGGGTTTTTCTTTAGGACTGGTCTCTTTTCTTTTTTTCCTCCAGTCAGTTACATGAAAGTAGATTGGTCTAATTTGAATTGAAAAATAAGACTTATAAACCCTAGTTGGTGAGACTAGCTGTTAACATAGAGACTAGGGTTATATAACTGGCCCCAGCTTTCTTCTTGAACATGGTAATGATAATCTACAGAATATAACTCCCTCCTTGTGTTTCTCAGTATTCATAAGCTGCGTGAGAGAGTGTCGTCTGAACACAGTGAGCTGAAGCAGAAGGAGCTGGAGCACATGCCCAAAGCGTCTCACGGTTATGGAGGAAAGTTTGGATTGCAGCAGGACCGCATGGACAAGGCAAGAGGCTTCGCTTATGGTTCTCTTCTCTGACGCAGGGGAAGTAGAGCATCGCTCGCTCTTACAGGGACATGTTTGTTCTAAATGCCTGTTTTAACATGTGGTGAGAAATTTATTTTTTTCCCCCAGATACTCCAGGAGTATCTGACATGTTATTTTATGTGCTAAACTCTGATTCATAATAAGAGAATACATTTAGCAGATGCTTTTATCCAAAGCGACTTACAAATGAGGACAATGGAAGCAATCAAAATCAACAAAAGAACAATGATCTATAAGTGCTATAACAAGTTAAAGTAAAAGTTAAGTATCTATTAAAGATACTCTATCAATTAGATCTTCGATTTATTTTTTTGCATGAAAATCCATGGATGTATATGATGCAGATACTACAGTGGAGACCACATCTCATTCATGTATTCATCAGAATTGAAGCGTGTGTTGTATTTGCAGTCTGCCGTGGGACACGAGTATCAGAGCAAGCTGTCCAAACACTGCTCCCAGACGGACACCTCCAAGGGTTTCGGAGGTAAATTCGGCGTGGAAGCTGACCGTGTTGACCAGGTAAATCCTCAGATCTTCAGTGGACAGGTGAGTGTATCTGTGGGCAGATTCACACTCAGTGATGTGCTGTTTTCCTGCAGTCTGCCGTGGGCTTCGAGTATGCCGGGAAAACCGAAAAACACGCCTCGCAGAAAGGTGTCTCTCGCTCTCTGTCTTTAAGATTCACTGTTCCAGTGTTGATTGTGCTGCAGTAAGAGCCGCTCATGTTGTGTTGTTTCAGACTACGCCACCGGGTTCGGGGGCCGCTATGGCGTGCAGGAGGATCGCGTGGACCAGAGCGCTGTTGGCTTTGATTATCAGGGGAAAACAGAAAAGCACGAGTCACAGAAAGGTGCGTTCCTGCTTCCCTGGCCATCTCTGGGCATATGGTTGTATTTAGGGATGTCTCGAGCTGATCTCAAGGATCGGGATTGGGACCGATTAAGCATTTTTTTAACTGATCGGTATCGGCTCTCCTAAGCCCGATCCACCAGTGATTCATTAGCTGTCATTCCAGTGTCGTGCAATAGGTGGCGGCATCCACTTTTAGCAGTCCACTGCCATTAAGAGGAAAAGAAGACGCTCAAATGTGCTTGCGGCACAAGAACAATTCTGTATGTTCTAGTGTGTCACACGTTCAAGATTCCGTGTTTAGAGTATTTGATGTGCACTTTGTGTAAGTTATCACTCTGCAGTAATATATTTACTATTTAGCCTACTTTTATCTGCCGTCAGACTATCTGAGACGTCGTTGTCATAACACATTGCTATGGATTGCGTCTTGCTTTGGACGCGAACTTCATGCTTTCTAAGCTTATCTAACTGTTTCCCCTTTATGCTGCAATTAATCTGCTTATTGCATATATAATAGGGTTGTGCCGATAGACGATAGTATTGTGTATTGACGATCAGGCTAGTAATACTATCTACTTAATATTAGGGCTTATTTGTTGCATTATATTTCTTTTTCCGTGTTTTTACTTGTAGCGTGTTATAACCAATCACACACGATTATGCTGAGCGTATGAATGCAATGGCCATTCAGAGGCGTTCAGATGAGTTCCATTGTTCAGTGCACGCTGATGGAATTCATAATACAATAATCATAAACAACAAAGTGCAGATGTTCGTGCGATGTATGTATAAGAGATTTATTCATCATATAGTGTAGATTCACTGATTATAACGAGAGTGTTTTTAAAGTGCATAAACTCGTGCTAGACTGAGCTTGTGATGATGTTCTTTGGTAATGAAATGTTGCTCGTTTTCTGTAGTTGCTTTTTGAATAATGTTAACTGAGGAAATGTAACTTACAATGTTTCTATTAATTTGTCATCATGTTAAATACAAATTCAGGCATATTAAAAACATTAGGCTGCTTTTAGCCTCACGCTGGAGTTGGTTCACTTTCCGGCAATGAAACTAAGTAAATAAATTACCACGATAATATCGTGTATCGGCGATCTCACAGGCTGACGATAGGACGATATGAAAATTGAGCATATCGCCCAACACTAACATATAAAATACAAGAAGTTTATATCAGTAGTATCATATTAATAATTATGATCACACAGTCTGTTTACAATGTCTATCATTGTTACATGTTTACATCTACCAATGTCTTTATACAGTGTGTGCATATATTGAGAGATAGTGTGTATCTTATTATTGGAAAATATATATGTAGTACATATAGTAATTGTTATATTGGATATTAGTAATGATAGATGCACTTTTTTCACATTTGAGCCCCAGCCCCTGAGAAAGTCTCTGCACATCCCTGTAGAGATTGGATTGATTTTAATAACTTTAATGCACTTAAAATGTGCACCAAGCACCAGGAAAATCCAAGTATCGGATCGGGACTCGGAATCAATGACTCAGATCGGGGGCACAAAAAACCTGATCGGGACATCCCTAGTTGTATTAAATCTACAGATTACGCCAAAGGCTTTGGTGGCAAATTTGGAGTGGAGACGGATAAAGTGGACAAGAGCGCCGTGGGCTTCGAGTACCAGGGAAAGACTGAGAAACACGAGTCTCAGAAAGGTTTGTCTCACATCTTTCATGCCTCACTGTTTGACTTCAGTTTAACAGTACAGATTTATAGAAGATTTTTTGTGAACAGAAGGTTGGGATAATACTACATATAATTCTAATAATAATTTTCACAGTCAGACGGCGACTCTGTCTTGTGGTTTTTCTGGTTTGTGTAAGACTATGTAAGGGGCTTCGGAGGGAAGTTTGGCGTTCAGACGGACCGTCAGGATAAGTCTGCGGTGGGATGGGATCATCAGGAGAAACTGCAGCTACACGAGTCACAGAAAGGTAAAAGACACCACACTCTGTCTGAGGTTTGTATTGATACTTTAATTATGTCTAATGATATGAAACTAGAGATAAGCATCTGTAGCACTTCAGTTGTTTTAATGCATTGTTATACCAAGGTCTGGATGTCATAGCTCTTCCGGTGGGATATTAATTCTCTGGTGTTGTTTGGTCATTTTTGATTGAATTGAATTGAATTTTTTTATTTTGTACTTCTTTGAGATGGTACGAAACTTGGTAAAAGTTTTTGCACTTGCCATACACACACACACACTCACTCACTCACTCACACACACATACACTCACTCACTCACTCACACTCACACACACTCACTCACTCACTCACACTCACACACACACTCACTCACACACACACAC